GGGGGGGGGGGGGTGTTGGATTGTGTTTTATGAATCTTCAGCATTGTGTTTGGGAAAAATTTGCATATCTTGCAAAATTTCCTCAAACCTTTTATGATCATAGCATACAGCTGATGAACATGCATATTAAGCAAGATGATAAATATGTTATGCGGTTGTTTAGTTTTTAAGGGTGAGAGTTTTTGTTCTTTTTTATTTTCTTCTCTCTTTTTCTATTTAATTGCTGTGGTTCGAGTGCAAGGAATATGGATGAGCCTTCCGAGTTTTTGTATACTCAAGCTCGGTTGGACATGATTGTTATAAACTCGAGCTCAATCTTCTCATTGTTCAGTGTGTGATGTTGAGTGGAAGAATCATGTAGGTTTTGGCCTTGGAACCTTAAGGATCTAAGATTGTTCTCGACTCTCTACATCTTTAAGAGGCAATTTTGGAGTGCTTTAGAGAGTTACCCTAGTTAAGAGAGACTTGCCCTATGTATATCCTCGAAATTTGAGTGGGTATCAAGAAAATCTAAATTCGTGAATGACCACTCAAGCTGTCAGAGGGCGACTGTTCCTGGAATAAAAAATGGAATCAAACTAATCAAGCGGAGTAGGGCCGCTTGAATCATCTATCAACCGCTCGAGCGACTAGGAGGGCGGTCTCCACTACCTATTTATCAGCCTTCTCCGAGCCTGGATTCTTATTCAAGCTTAGTTCGATTTGTAAGTCATATTCTTTGGTGTGGTTTGCCTAGTTTTTATATGACAATAGATTTGAGTGTATGTCATCTAAATCTTAAAATTAGGCTGGCACATTGCTCTGGTCGGAGTCTTGAAAAACAAGTCCAATGAGACTTTACACAACCTCTTGAGTAAATGGTTGTCCTTCTTCTTGGGGGATAAATCCTGTCTATTTACTTTATTTTTAGGGTTAAATGCAAAAAATTCCATGTATTTAGGCTCATTTGCGCGTAATCCCCTCATAGTTTTAACTATTGTACTTAGCCTCTTCAACTTAAAAATAAAGTGCAAAAGTAGATGAACATTATTAATTTAACAGAGTGTGTGAATCACGCACTCAAATATACAAGTGAGGAAAAATGTGCCAAAATTATAATGTCTAATTCCTAAAATACCCTCAAAAGCCATGCCTTTCTCGAATCATTCATCTCTCTCTCTACAAACCCTCTCCCCTTTTCTCAACAAAACTCACCACTTGCAATACCACCACCCCAGCCCACTTTCGTCACGGGTGCAGATTCTCTACTATTGAAATCTAACCGCATGATATGCGGTTAAGTGGAATAACAACGTTTTGGCAAACAAAAGACAAGGTAGCAACTTAGCTCAACGACGTTGTCCAAGACCACAAAACCCTACCCAATATGGCATCGTTTTCTTGCAGATTTGAATGCCTTCATTAGTCGGAGTTCCCCAAAAATCGACAACTCTTCGTCGAAGTTCTAACCTTGAAGATCGATTTTGAGACAAACAAGAGCAGTGTTCAATCAAGATCGTAACCAGAAAGATTATTTTTGTGACGCCCCTAAAACCAGGGGTCATTTATCAACCGTTGACCATCCGTCAACCCGCAAAAATACCTGTGTTTGTCGCACAACTCGACTTCACGTCAATAACATCTTCTTAACCGGGATTATAACTTACATGTGTAATATGTGTACATTT